GGGGTAGGTGTCCTCTAGGAAGTAGCCATCGAAGGTCAGCAGTTGTTCCACCTTTGGAATGTGTCCTATCTCGCTGATTTTCTCCTTCAGCTGACCGACCTTCTCATTTTCGGCGACTTTAATCGAAAACTTGTCCGCCTTCCGGTAAGCGATGTATATGAGCATCGGAGAAGACTGATGCCTTTGCGTTTCCGGGATGCTTAGGATATTCTTCGCGGCGGTTTCTAATTGGTTGTCTGCGGCGATTGGTTGGCGCAATTGGATGTGGGCGTGAGCCACAACTGGCCATGAGCAGAGAAATCGACAAATAAGGAAATTTCAAATGTCTAGTTTGTGAATCCTAGGCAAAACATAGGGGCCTGTGCCTGCGGTTTTGAGTGTTTCTTACTCGTTTTTTTTATTAACGAAAAAATGCTCTTTCCTTTTCCGAAAACACGTTGCAGGTTTAAATTCTGCTCTCTGAATCTGAGTCTTATTCTGTCTTTCCCAACTGGACTTAGTATCGCCAGCCAGGATTGATTGAATCATAAAGACGTAAACACTCGCCCCCTTTACCCTCTATGTTCCCCAATTAAGACTAGAAGCTGACCCCTCTGATCTCTTCACATCTCTTCCCCCTTTTCCCCCTTATTACCACTGACTAGTTTCTTAAATCGTTGTTAACTCTACACTTACTTATAGTATTGTATTCACCTGATAAAGCAATAATCCAAAATTTTCGGTCGCCTAACTTGACTTAATGAATGTTGACACGGCTACCACCGCTGAAATTAAAAAGTCCAAGGATCCCTCGATCTTCAAGCTACAAATATGTACCTGCGTTTTAACACCTGCCTTGCCGAAGCGAATGTGGTGTCCGATTTCATCACAGACTGCAGAGTTAAACGTGAATATCCTCACAAATACTGGGGGCAATTTCGTAGTAGTCGCACGATAATATTGCAGAAAAAAACTAGAAAGAGATAGAATAGGGGAAACATAACAAACTGATATGTAGATTCTAGAAAACACGCTGCAACCGCTCAAAGTACACACAGCTTAGCTGAAGCACACGCATGTGAATAACACAGCGGTTAAGGTCACGTTTGCACATTCACCTGCCAACTGCGTGCACGGTTGTTCTATTTCGACCATCTTCTTTTCCTGAATTTATTGAAATTCTGCCCAATGAAATATCCTCTTTTCGGTAACGTGGTGTAACTCCGGCATATAACCTCTCACTTTCTCTTCATAGCGAAGGCCTTTTTATTAAATTACATATACTTTACATTATATCTGCCATTTTCGTTTATATCGCACACCGCAAGCCCGAGGCTACATGCCTGTATTGCTCCCCCCCTCATTCTTTACTGATCTTCAGTTATTTTTGTAGCCTTTCTTAAAAAGACCTGATCATTTGTCAACGTATTCTCCGACTGCTTTCTTCAGCTGCTGGCGTTTTCTATGTTTTGTATTGTTGATATTATAATATAGTGACGGTTTAAAACGGTGAAGCAATTCGCTGATCGCATCCTTAGCTACGGAGTTTTCCCGTGCTTTGCACCGAAGCTCTCGTCATATGTCTTGCCGTGCATCGGCATATCAGCATTCTGTACTCCCACTCCTAGCACGCAACCTCACATGTGGAGAAATGGAACTTGAGAAGTTGAAATCTGACCAGTCTCCATAACAGTCGTGGATATCGTGTAAACGGCTAACTGTGAGTAATCCCGGACCATTCACGTTACCTTACCTTACCTTATGCCTTCCGTGACTGGATCCATTTTTTCGCTGGACATTTTGGATATTATCTTCAAAATAAAGCATTCCTCTACCTCTCTCTCTTCCCTGGGTGTACTCAGGCTTTTCCAGCAACTAAAAGAGAACATGCAGATCAATTACGAATTTTGTCCTCACTGGAATAAATCAACCTCGCGTCTTTGAAATAACCACTGATATGCCTGGGAAACTGACGAATAACGAAATACGAATAAAAATCCGCTAAAGGGATGGCGTGTGCCTTTTGCCTGCTAATTTGTGGATGGCTATGCCTGGTTTTGAGGCCTAATGCATCCGCAATGGCACTCCTTATACGACATGCTTACTAGTAAATACGTGATCATCTGGGAAGGGTCTAGATTAAGCTCCCATTACTAAGGATATCGCCACGAGGAAATATTGGCAAATTGATGCTGGAATAGCTTCTGACTGTAGTTTGTCATATGCATTTGAAACCATTGCACACGTCCTAGGACTCTCCACTGTAAGAAAACATCCACTAATTAGGATTACATGTTCAAGGATAAATAAGTGCAAATGGATGAGCTATAATCAAGGAACACTTATTAACCCTGTCCAACTGTACGATAGTCATTATCCCTGCAACTTTACTGGCCTGAGAAAGAGTTGCTGAAAATATATGCTTGCCAAATCGGCTTTTCAAATTCAAAAATTGCTATCCTAGACTCCCTTGTCGATTGTGGCACTCCTCTTACGAAATGCTTACTTCTAACTTGTTGCATGACTATTAGAGCTTTTGGGTACGCCCAGAGTATAATCAGGTTCCTTATCCTTATCGGCGAATACCCCATCTGTCTACGACGCCCAAGCCAAGGCGCAGGTGTCTGGCGTGGCGTGAACCCGCTACCTGACACGTCCCCTGGTCTATACAAAAACGAGCAGGGAGCCGCACAGAGCACGGACGGCTCGGACCTGTTACTTTTTGCGACTATCAGGACGCATTAAACGCTGTAGAACCTGTTATGTTCCCGTAGCAAACAACTGAATCACGCCTGCGT